CTGTTCAAACTCAGTCACAAGTTAAATCCTGATGAATCTACTTTCAAAAGATCAAATGGACTGAAATATCAGGACTTCAGGAGATAACAATAGCCTGACGTGAAGGCTCTTGGGAGTTCTCCCTGTGCTATAATGGTTTGTAACTCTGAGGTTAACCACACAAGTGGTTCTGTGATGTGGAAGTTTGAATGGTGGGCCTGATCAGATAACTCTGTCACTGTCATGGTAACTTGGCTCCTGGGTCCCTTCAGTAGGACTTTGTGATGCCTGTGCCCAAGGGGCAGCTGTGTCAACAATTCAAACCCATTTTCCTTCTATCCAAATACTGTGGCAGATCCCTGAATGCAGAACATGTATGAAAATAAAGGCTTGGGTCATTTGTATCTGTTGTAAGTTGAGGGGAAAAAATCTCCCCAAATGGTTTTGTGTTAAGGAAATGTATTCTTTTTTTTTTTTTGTGATATATATTTTTTATTTTACAATACCATTCAGTTCTACATATCAGCCATGGGTTCCCCTATTCTCCCCCCTCCCACACCCTCCCCTTACCCCCAGCCCACCCTCCATTCCCACCTCCTCCAGGACAAGTCCTCCCCCGAGGACTGTGATCAACTTGGTAGACTCAGTCCAGGGAGGTCCAGTCCCTTCTTCCCAGACTAAGCCAAGTGTCCCTGCATAAGTTCCTGGTTTCAAACAGCCAACTCATGGAATGAGCACAGGACTTGGTCCCACTGCCTAGATGCCTCCCAAACTGATCAAGCCAATCAACTGTCTCACCTATTCAGAGGGCCTGATCCAGCTGGGAGCCCCTCAGCCTTTGGTTCATAGTTCATGTGTTTCCATTCATTTGGCTATTTTTTTTTCAATAATTGAGTAAAACTGAAATTGATTATATGCCACAGTCATCCTAGGGACCTCCATGCTATGTATATAGCCTCTGTGGTTCTATGGGTTGTGGTCTGATTGTTCATTTTATATCTAGAATCCACCAATGAGTGAGTACATACCATAACTGTCTTTCTGGGTTTGGGTTACCTCACTCAGGATGATTTTTTCTAGTTCCATCCATTTGCCTGCAAATTTCATGCTTTCATTGTTTTTCTCTGCTGAGTAGTACTCCATTGTGTATATGTACCACATTTTTTTCATCCATCCTTCCGTTGATGGGCATCTAGGTTGTTTCCAGGTTCTGGCTATTACAAATAGTGCTGCTATGAACATAGCTGAGCATGTATCTTTATGGTATGTATCAGCATATTCAGACCCGGCGGCAGCCGGCAGAGACATCCAGGAAATGTATTCTTGAAGGTAATTCTTGAAGCAGTTTAAAGAAAAGAGCAATGGTAAAAGAGACTGAGTTCAATATTGGACCCACGTTTCCTAGAAGATAGGGGTTGCCTACTTTGCCAGTAGTATTACTTAGGTGTTAAGATGCTCAGCCCTGAGGCTAGAGAGATGGCTTAGCAGTTAAGAGCACTTACTGTTCTTCCAGACCACCTGGGTTCAATACCCAGCTCTTGCTCTGCAGCTCACAACTGTGTTTAACTCCAGTTCTAGGGGAAATCTGATGGCCTCTCTTGGCCTCTGTGGGTACTGTATTCATGTTATGCACAAACACACAAGCCCAAACACCCATCTACAAATTAGTAAAATAATTTTTAAAAAGATGTTTAAGTCTTATGTTTGGAAAATTCCTGACAGCATTTTTGCTCCATATTTATTTCAAAGGTTGCAATGAATATATGAGTATTTTCATGACAAGGCCAGAGGTTTTCCACAAGTTCTTGATATGGCCCAGCAACACAAATGCATTTTTGAATGGCTCAGATCTACCTAGCTTTCATATGGTTTGATGGACCATCTGCTCTCTGCTAATTTGGTCCCCTGAAGCTTTCTCTAGACATCTGACTAACTCTCTGGTCCACAGACAGCTCTGTTAGCATATTTAGAAGTCTGGGAATGAGGTCCAGGCAGATCTGAGTTGAAGATACAGTGGTATCTTCTAGCTTATCAGTGGTGGCAAATTTTACTGTTTGAGCAAAAGAAAGAGTTGGGATGCGCTTGAACATCAGGAGAAGGCTAGTTGGACTTAGGTGCATTGCTGAAGGCTTGGGTTAGTTACACTGTTGGAAGCTGGTAAGCTATAGCAGTTTCACCAGCATTATGTGTCAAATGAATTTCTGAGTCCCATAAAACCCTCAGTGTCTGGTCACCAAGTAAGTGGCTTGTTCTCAGTGGTGTTTTGTTGACTAACTATGAGCTAGAGTTCTAGAAGAGATAAAATACAGGTGAATAGTATGGTTCCCCTTAACAGTGGGCACCACTGCTTCCCCAGACATACATGTCAGAATTAAAATCACGTTTGAAAGGAGCCTCGCTAGCATAAAAGGCACTGTGGCAGGTTCCTAAACAGCCTCTGAGGCTGCTGTCCATTAGTCACTGAGGTGTTGCTGCAGATACTCTACTGTTAGAACCATAAGATGAGACCGGGGAATGTTCCTCAGCAAGGAAGGCCTTAAGCGGGAAGAGGCAGTTCCTCATCGCAGGCTCGGGAAGCATTGTTCTTTTTTATCCCTGTATTTACTGAGTGTGCGTCTCAAAGCTGAGACACGTCCACGTCCATAAGGAAGCTCTTTCTGTGTCTATACGAGTGCAGGGGAGTCTAATTTCTTCATTAAATAAGTGTCCATATCACTCATCCCATATTTTGTGTTATTTTGCTCATGCATGGGGTGGAGACTGGGGTATGGCTCAAGCTCAGTGTGTCCTCTCCCACGGGGCCTCACCCAAGCATCTTCTTGCTTTCTGGGGATTGCCACCAGTGACTCATTAGTTTGTGAGGTTAGAGAAGAAACACGGACACTGCTGCTCAGTGCACACCAGGAAGAGGGACGTGACTCCGAGGACCTCAGGAGCACAGGCACAAGCCGAGTCAGGGTCAGAACACAAGTTCAAGGCTAACGTGAAAGTTGATAATGGCCACACACAAGATGTTTAGAGCCTCGCTCTGGGGGAAGAGCTGCAGGGACGGAGAGGCAAGGAAAGACGAGGCTGCAGTAATTCTCTGTATTTGAGGTTTCACTTGCTATTTCGTCACCTGGGCTTAACTGTGGTCTAAAAATATCAACTGCAACCGCAAATTTCTAGAAAGAAACAACTTACAAATTTTTAGCAACTTTTTTTTTTTTACAGCATTTTGATCAACTTAATATAATTAGCTATTAGTTGTATTGTTGTTAAACTTGATCATAGACATATAGGACGAAGTTGGGAGAGAGAGATGGAGCTGCAGGGAGGGAATGGTCCTTGGACATGTTCAACATACATTCTATTATTGTATGACAGTTCTTGTATTTATTGTCAAAGAATAAATAAAAAGCCAAGTGAATAAAAATGTATGTACAGGATAGCTACATTTGCAACTGTACCTGTACGTGGCTGTGTGCTTTCTGAAGCTCCAAGCACACATGGGAAACTTGGAACATAACCTCAGTGGAAAAGCAGGGCCTAGGATACCTTGAGAGACAGAACAGTTCGTGAAACTCACGATATGGAACCATCGTATGAACAGGTCTCAAATGTTGAAGAAACTACAGAAGACCATTGCTGGTCCAGTGCTTTGGTTTGTACTGTAAATATCCCTGAAAGGCTTGGCCACCATTGACACCAGTGGGAGATTGCAGAATCTCTAGGAAATAGGGCCCGGGAAAAGGACACTAGGCCACTATGGGCTTGTCTTTCAGGGAGGTAGCTGGTTCCTGGCTCTCCTCCCACCCCTCCCTCCTCTGCTTTCTGGCTGCTGTGTGGTGAGCAGCCTTCACTGCCCGGCAATGCCTGCTGTAATGCACGGGACTTCTGTATGCCCGAAGCTATGCGGCCAAGGGAAGGAAAACTAGCCCAGCAGAGGGCCGAGATGGCGCCTACTGCTCAGCTTGTCTACACCTCCGCCTCTCTCTAATCCTACACCCAAGGACTCTTTAGGTTCAAAGAGAAATCCAAGCCAAGGGGAGGGAGCCGAAGCCTGCCTGTGTACTGTCACTTCATTGATTTCTAACTACAGAGTTATTTTGTTTTCGTTTTTTGTTGTGCATTGTTCCAAAGAGTGTGAAAAGTGAAAGGCTTGTAATGTGACCCCAGTGTCGTGGCAAGGGGTGTCCTTATTCTGAATTTAATCCTTACCTCTCTGCCTTCCACACCCCTTCTTCCTGAGAAATGAATCATGTTTAGTTACATAAGATTACATAAGCATTCTCTTTTGGTTTTCTCCCCACATTTCCAAATACATTCCCACCATTATTAATTCAAATACCAACAAAAATCGTATCCCCTTTGTCCTGGTTTGCCCAAAAGGACTTCTCTCCCTCATACCGTCTCTCACTCCACCTTCTCCCTCCCACCTCAGTAACATTCTAATTGCCATTGTCTACATGCTCTGACCTTTGTGACTATTGTTCACTGCCAACCCTATTGGAGACGGCACTTATGTTTTTCTTTCTGGCAGTTTTGGGTTTTTCTTGTATGAACACCTCATTTTTTCCCTTACTCTTTTAATATGTGTATTGCTAGCATTTCTCCATTGATTCTGAAAAAATATCTGCTCCTGTCTCACCAATAGCCTTTTGGGAGCACAGTAGAGAGGGGTCTGGGGTGGGGGTGGGGTCCCATTGCTTGTTCATAGACTGTTCATCAGCTTTCTACTGAAGTTGACAAAATACCTGGGACAAGTCAAATTATAAGGAGGAAATTTTAATTATCTCATATAGTCAGTCAACGGTTGGGTGACTTCCTTGCTTTGGGCCTGTGGTGAAGCCGGACAGCATGAGGTGGGGTACGTGGTGGAACAAAGCTGCTCCCATCGTGACAACCAGGGAAGAGGAGGCTGTGGGAGGGACTTGTCTCACATTCCTCTTCAATGGCACACCCCCACCCCAATGACCTACCTTCCACTAGGCCATAACCCCCAAAGGATCCACTACCTCACAATAGTGCCATGGACCAGAGGACAAGCATTTAACACATGGGGCCTTTGGGGAACATTCTAGACCCAAACTATGGTGAAGACTTTCCATTTTTAGGATGGTGACATCTGCCCCCTGTTGTACCTGTCGTATGGAGCTTTTCTGAGTGAGTTCAATTAAACAGTGCCATCTGCTCCAGGTAAGATATCACCCAGAGGCATTTACATGTTCTCAGTGTGGTCATTTCTTCTAGGTGGCCATGTCCGTTACCAACCCTCCAATGTTGCTAGCTTCTCCAAACTGGTTTACACAGCCCACCTCTCATTCTCATTGTCCCCATGGCCACAACTTATTTGTAACCTCATTTCTTTTACTTTAGTGACATTGGTAGGACAGGGCCAGCCTGGAGCCAGCCTGCCATGTCACCTGGCAGTCCCCTGAGGTTTCAGGGTCAGTTGTTAGGCAGAGAACCCCAGGCTATCACCAAGTCCAGGCTGAAGTAGTGGGGACTTCACAGGTGGGTAGAGGGCGCTCTTGTGCCACTCCCTGGTTCCCTACGTCTTTCAGCCCTTCTTCCCTGCACTGGGTATCAGTGTGCCCCACACTGGAGTCTGGAGATGTGTGGGAACTCATCCAGAAGGGTCTTGTCCTGTGTGGTTTCGTGAGGTTGTATGCTTGTGGGTGGGGTTGGGGGGAGCAGGCTGGAGCAGCATCCGGACCTATTTAACCTTTCAATGAAACATCAATGAAATCCACCTTCTTCTTACCTCTTTTCTTCTCTGAGTTTCTCGAATGACCTCACTGGATCCGGGAATCAGGATCCTCTAGGCAGGTCCTCTGTGAATCACACATCTTCCATGAGGTCATCCCCTCACTGTCCATGAAGACCCGATGATGGTAGAGTCAGGTCTTTGGAACCAGGCAGGCATTTGCTTTCCACAATAAACAGCGATGAAAAGAGGACCACATGGAAATGTCCACTTAGGAAAGGACAAGGACAGAAGAAAGACATAAAGGAGCGGTCTCTTTACTAGGTGTGAATAAGTCTTACCAATATGGTAGCACCTGCAGGGTCCCCGGTCACTCAGCGGTGGAGACCGCGAGGACAACCACAGAATTAGACTCATCTCCTCCCAGGCTGCCCTCCAGGGTGGGGTCGGCCATGCTGTGCGACAGCAGGAAGCAAAGCTGGGAAACTGGCGCAGAGAGATTTGTAACGGAAAGGCTGACAGCGAGGGCCAGGATGATACAGTAAATAAGGTGAATGGGCTCGGCTTATTTCATTTCACAGCTGAGCTGTGTATTGCCAGATAAATCAAATCAGGGTAAACGGCTTCATCTAATAAACTGGGTCAACATATAATGTATTTGTTCAGGTTCGTACTTTCATTGATTCTCATTTGATTTAAGAAGAGATATTTCAGGTCATGTTTGAATGTCTTTTAGTATTCATGCCTCCTTCTGGTGAGGCGAGGCGGGAGGCAGGGCCACACAGCTGGGATTCTTTCTTTCTTTCTTTAAAAAAAAAAATAAATTAAGTTTCCTGATTCTTGTAAGTTCTGCCTTCCGTCTTTAGGCAAGGAAGTGGGGGAGGGTGGTGGCAAGACCACTCGGAGAGAGAGCCACAAAGTCGCAGGAGAAAGCACCCCGTGCCAGCATCTGCATCCCCCCCGTAATGTTTTAGTGATGTTTGCTAATGTATCATTCATTAACCATCAGCCACTATACAAAACATAATCTATCTCGCAAAGTGGACATTATTATCGCATTAAATCATTTCACAATATACCTGAACCGTTCCACATGAGAGGCCTGGCCTGGCCAGGCTCGGATGCCTCCAGGCAGCTCTTCAGTAGTAATGAGATACGAGGTCTGTCTGTGATGAATACGATATTACCCGTGTCAGCGGCTGTGGACTGCACCCAGAATATTTCTTCTTACAGGTTTTTTTTTTTTTTTCCCATAGCAAAGGAACTCAGGCAAAGCACTATTAACCCAGTAAATGAAGCTCTAAAGAGCACAGAGTGTGTCCATTAGGAGACAGAATGGTGACTAATCCAATTTTTCTTGGAGGGAGGGACGGTGCTTTGGTAACATCTGGGATGCCAGGCCCTGCATTACAGATGAGGTTCTGCGTTCTGTCCTCTGCGTGACTCACCCTTCTGTCTTGTCTTTCTCTGTCTTTGTCTAAGAACAATGATGGTGCTGTCCCCTCCTCTCCCTCAACCCATCTCTTGTGAGGAAAGTCTCCTTGGAAGTGATTCAGACAATGCTCATGGCCGGAGGAGAAGGTAGAAAAGGGAGGGGAGGAAGAGCCTCGTGGAGTCGACCCGTTTCCACATTTGTAGGGCTGTGTCCTGGGACTCAAGGTTGTGTCTTGGGCAGCCTAGGACCCATGGGAGATGAGAGAGGTAGGAGATGATGGAGCATTTGCTTTTGGCAACTGTTAAAAGTCACTGCAAACCATCTGGATTCTTGGGAAATAATCTGTATTTTCCTCTTTTAGGAGGGCATTCACGTCTATTATTTCTTGGGAAAGTCTTTGCAGACATTAAAGTGCTGAGGGAGAAACAGAACATTCCAGATGGATGCCCCATAAGCTGGGCAGATGTGGGGTGACTGCCCAGGAGGAAAATGCAAACGTAAAGTGGCGATCCTCTCCTTAACCTCACTCTGAGTCTTCCTTTCCTTCCTTCTCAAATAAGTATGTATTCTGTCTGCACTTTATTCCATGCCTGAGACAGGACACTTAAGTTTCACGGCATCATGTGGATAATAAACAGAAAACAAGTAAGAAGAAGCCAGACTCATCTGAGCTGCAAGAATGCCCCACTCAAAATCTGGTGTATGACTTGCAACTACGTCCTATATAACTGCACATGACCATTGGTATTTAAAAAAATGCCATCCCTGAATTTCCACTTCCAAAGAGAGCATTTCATATATATTTCTATGAAGAAGAGTCTGGAGAATCAGAATAGGTATCCTTCCCTAACAGGTTTATTTCTTGCAGTGGACCAATTCAGAAGAATTGCCTTTGTTTTCCACACTGAAAATTTCAAGTTAGAAGCCCCCCCCCCCCCTTACAAAGCCTGATTCCTACTATTTCACATTACTCTGGCATATTAGCTCAGATGATGTGGAAAATGTAATTTTGAGAATACACTGCCTCAGTATGAGTCATGATTTTGTGTCTAGCAGACGTGCCCGGGTCACCTTTCTCCTGTTGAAGTGACTCAGGACTGAGATCCTTTCAGGGACATTATTTACAGTGAATCAATTTGTCCCCCTCCCCCCATCTCTTGCCCCTCAAATTTTTCTTCTTTTTCCTCTTTGTCTTGTCAGACAGGCCTAACACCATTGATGGAGCATTTTCTTCACAATACCCATAGTCTGTGACAAAAATCTGTGTCCCCATTATTTTTTTCAGACTATCTAAAGCCTTTATTATTTGTTTAATTTTTTCTTCATTGCATGAGTCTCACAGTGAGCTTTTCTTTTTCTTTTTTTTTATTTAAAGCAAATGATCTGGAAAGCATAACACAATCTAGAAATTTAGAGAGGCTAAATATTTAGTGGAATATTATTCTGGCTAGTTTAAGGGTGCTTATTCATCTCATTGTCCAGACAGCCACAACAAACTGGCTTGACTTGATTTTGCTTGTGTCTTAGATTTTTTTTTAACTTATGATGATATAAAAGTGATAGGTATTAAGGAGAAACTATTTTTGGAGTTTTGAGTCTGACCTTCTTGGGTGATACGGGGCAGCATCAGCCCTGGGGTCATGATGGGAAACAACGGATCCTCAGTGTCCTTGCTGCGAAGCTGTGTGTATGACGAGGACATAATACTCTCTCAAGTGAAGGGACACAAGGGGGCTGTTATTTATTGATTTTGTGTGTGGTGTGTGCGTACTTACATGTCTGAGTGCGTGTTTCCATGCTGAAGCATACAGAAGCATGCAGAAGAGGACACTGAGTGTCTTCCTCTATTATTCTGTCTAATTTTTAAGACAGGGTCTCTCACAGAGCCGGAAGCTCCCAGTACAGCTAAGCTGGCAGACTAATGAGCTCCCTGACACTGGGATTAATTAAGGTATGTTGTGCTCTGCTTTTTGTGTAGATTATTGAAAGACATTATTTCATCAATATTATTAGAACACATTGCTTTTTAGTCAAGTCAAAGCAAGTTTTTAAAAATGGCTGTCTTACTCCTCAAAGCATTATCTCCCATGCAGCTGGTCTTTCTGAACTAGCCTTTTATCTTCTTGCGCAAATATTTATTACTCATTGAATCATTTCGTTCCTACTTCTACGGAAAGTCTCTGTTTAATGCTTATTGGAGTGGTCCTAGGTTTTCCTGTTAGTTGTGCCTCTGTTGCTTGATGCTGACTGACTATAACATGACCTTCAGCTGCTTCAGGGATGTTTTCCATGGAACAGCTAGGGACACTCTTGATTGAATTCTCAGGGTTTCTTGTTATGATAGTTCAGGATCTGTTCAGAAGATTTCCTGGGGGACATTGCATAGCTTAAGCATCACTGTATGCCTGGGTCCTGTTACTGTCTGAAATACCCTGTCCTGAAGGTGGGCCTGCCCCTGTAACTCATCTCATATATATTACCCCCTTATCCAAGACCTTGTGAGCACCCACCTCGGCTCTTTTAGAATCTTCTCTCACACTGCACTTGCCACTGGCCTTTCTTTTCTACTCTTGCCTATATTTTTATTTTACTGATTTCACTTAGTATATTTTTGTGGGGGGTGCATGGCATGTGTGTAATGAGTATGCATGTGTGTAGGTACTTATGTGTGTGTACATGTATGTGTGCATGCACATGTGTACATGTGTGTGGAGACCCAAAGTTGACTTTGGGTGTCTTCCTCAGTTGCTCTTCACTTTATTTTTTGAGGCAAGGTCTCTCCCTAAAGCCAGAGCTCTGCATTTCGGCTATTCTAGCTAGCCAGCCTACCCCAGGGACCTCCTGTGTCTTCCTCCTGAGTGTTGGCATGATAGGCTGCTACTGTGCCTGTTTGGCTTTTCACCTGGGTTCTGGGCTCGGTGGATACAAATTCTGGCCCTCACGATTGGCATGCAAATGGTTTATACACTGAGCTACCCCCAACCCTATTTTATTATTTATTTTCTTGAAAGAACACTTAATAAAGGGTCTACTCTCAACATTGTTTTACACACA